ATCTCCTAAACGCTATCAGGTCAAATAAATTGTATTTGTTTTTAGGGTAGAACTGCATACAGTTAAATCATGGTATGTGCATGTGGTTAACACTGCTTTAAAGTGGGCCTATTTATTTTAATACTCGAAAATGAGGTGTTTTGCTCACCCAGTTGGAGTTGATTGTAAAACTTGGAAGCCAGAAAAAGAAAGTACTGTTTTTGTGCTGTGAGTACATGAAGCAGGCTGCGAGCAAGCCAGGGAGAGCACGGCAACTGCATCTTTTCTTGGTCCAACATGGTCAGCAGTCAGCATTCACAGGTTTATGAATGCTGGATGGTGGACCAACAAATGGCTTCCACACTGTCATACTAAGCATGTGCTATCATTCTTATTCTTTTTCAGTAATAAAAGAAATTCTAGAAAGAAACAGCAGGAAAGGTTGAGATTGTGCTGTATTGAGAATGACATCTCAGCTAGATGCTCCTGGAAAATAAACCGTTGTTTTGCCCTGCTCTCTGCCATGGGTGCCACGCATAGTGTGCAGATTAGTTTTGTCAACCTGACACAAATCTATACCTGGGAAGAGGAAATTTCAATTGAGGAATGCCCTTCATCAGATTGTACTGTGAGACATTTTCTTAATTGCTAATTGATGTAGCAGGGCCCAGCCACTGTGGGCAGTGTTATCCCTAGGCAGGCAGGTCTGGGCTGCATAAGAAAGGTAACTGAGCAAGCCAGAGGAAGCAAGCCAGTAAGCAGCATTTTTCCATGGTCTCTGCTTCAGCTCCTGCTTCCAGGTTCCTGCCTTGGCTTCCCTTGATGATGGACTGTAACCTGTAAATGGAAATAAACCCTTTCTTCTCCAAGTTGCTTTTGGTCACCATGTTGTGCAATGCCTCTGGAGGCCAGAAGAGAGTGTCAGATCCCCTGGAACTGGCGTTTCAGAGCAATGTTAGCCCCCATGTGGGTGCTGGGATCTGAACCTAAGTCCTCCAAAAGAACAGCCAGAGCTTTCAGCTGCTGAGCCATCTCTCCAGACCCCATCCATCTTTAAAAGGTGCTTTGTAGGGCTGAGAGATGGCTTGGAGGTTAAAAGCACATACTGCTTTTCCAGAGAACCCGAGGTGACTCACAACTGCCTGTTACTCTAGCTCAAGTGGATCCATTGCCCTCTTCTGGACTCTATGCTGTGGGTACCTGCACTCCCATGCTCACACCAACCCCAACACACATACACATAATTTAAAGTACCAACTAATAAATTTTAAAGGCCCAGGCTGGCACTACTGAATACATCCAGGCAGAGGAACCACCCTGTTGATCCTCCATCAATGGCCAGCTCCTCATCAACAAGGGTCCCTTTGTATTCCCAGTAACTGAAATGCTATAGGAATGATAACTCGACAGACCCTAAACTACTTCAGGGAAATAGAAGCTATTAGAATATATAAGAGCCTTACTGTTCATGAGATTCTAAGCTCAGTTCATTGTTAACTCTTATTTTTTCTAATAACAATACATCAGACGCACAGACAAGTTGAGAAAATAATATTTGAACATCTGTGTATCCAGTCAGCCTGATTTAAATCTTAACTTTCAGATATTCTCTGGTTTCTGTCTCTATTTGGAGGCCACAGTTATGAATTTGATGTTTATCACATTAATATTTTATATTTAACTCTTCAGGGCCCCCCCTTAATGCAATACTTTCTCCTTAATGGTATAGAAACTGGCTTGCAGCAATAAAATCTTAGTTTGAGGGCCACTGTGAGATGACTATGATTAATTGAAATGCACAGTGAGGTCAGAATACAAGAGCCAAGGCTTTACAGACCCTGATTCATCAACAAAGTTAGTTAGCTGTTAGCCTCTCTGGGTGTCACTCAGGTAAACTTCAGACAGTCTAGGGAAATATATGGTTTGGGAACAATGCTATTCAAACTTTTTATTGTAAAGCACAGTAAAAACTATGAAGTTTGCATTGTGGACTCATACAGCCCAACAGACACATGCTTGTGAATGAAAATGCTCAATCATCTATTTATTTATTTTTATTTTGTGTGTATGAGTGTTATGCCTACATGTGTGTAAATGCACCCATGACGTGCAGTGCCCACAGAGGACAGAAGAGGGCATTGGATCCCCTGGAACTGGAGTTACAGACAGTTGTTAGTTGCCATGTGGGTGCTGTAATTTGAACCTGGGTCTTCTGCAAGAACAGCTAGTACTCTTAACCACTGAGCCATCTCTCCAGCCCCCAAATTTTTAATCATCTTATACACACTATTGAACTGATGTCTTACAATATAGACTATTTATTTTGTTTTTCCAATTTTTTTGGTTTTACAAAGTTATTTTGTTCAATAAATTGATTTCACGTGTCATTAGTAGATAGGAACCCATAGTTTAAAAACAAAAAGCCAAAGCAACCGTAGTTAAGAGAACTGTTATTTGTTCTTTGGGGCAAGAGTGTCTTTTTAAAGTATATTTGGTTGAACTCTGCTGAACATTTTTATACAAGGCTTTTCTTTACCACTGACCTAAGAGTACAGATTTATGCCATACCTTACTAATAACAAATCCCACATGAAACTAAGCAGAATCCACTGCTCTTTGGACTCATGTTTTTGTGCACCATGCTCCAGCTCCTCCTGAAAACTTCTGACCACTCCGACCATTGCTTCAAGGCAGCCTGTCTAGAATGAGTAAACACAGCTTGGACATGATGACTTAACTATACTTTATAAATTCACAACTGTTAAGCCACAAAATCAACCTTTCTAAATAAAATGCAGAGTAAGTCAAACTGCCAAGTGAAAAAGAACAGCTTTGGAGCCCTTTTCAGCACAGTTTGCCCCCAGACAATCCTAAATAAGGTCTGTGAGAGGGATGAAGCCAGGAAGTGTTGCATTCCACTCATTAAACGTCATCAATTCTGCCTAACCAAGCTGCCACTCTGTTCACAGAAGGTGCCAATAGTGGTCACGGGAGCAGAAATCAAATAGCACCATGTTCAAAAAGGGTTAAGATCTAGTGTGCAGCTCAGGGGTGCCTAACCTAGCATGCACTGACCCTACATTCAAGGCCCAGAACTGTATTTAAAAGGAAAAAGAAAACACTTAAAATAGTGGGATTCAGAAAGGTGTAACTTTCCCTTCAGAAAAGCAAAAGACATACCTAATGAATAATAAACAAACAATTGTTGAGATTTTTGAGCTACACTGATTCCAAGACTCAAATGAGTCAGCTTGCTGCAGTGCGTCCAGCAGCAACCTCGTTAAACATTAATGAGAGAGCTAGTTTCTAAAATCTGGAAGAAGGCTTGGTTTCATTCAACTGTTTCAAAGAAGAAGAAATGTAGTTCTAGCTGAGAGAATTTAAATGTGTCTGTTGATTAGCCTGCAAGGAACGTGTCCATTGGGTGAGAGGGTCAAGGAAAATCCAGCTGATTTTGAGGCAAAAAAACAGATATGATCATGATATTGTTTGGTGTCTACACTTATCTATGTGACTCTGTGATTTTTTAATTTTTTTATTTATTGCTTTTATTTTATGTGTATGCATGTATTCTGGAGTTACGGACAGTTGTTAGCTGCTATGTGGGTGCTGGGATTCAAACCTGGGTCTTCTGCAAGAACAACCAGTGTTCTTAACTACTGAGCCATCTTTCCAGCCTGACTCTGTGATTTAAAAAAAAAAAAAAAAATGGTTCTCGGACTTTTTGGTGCATGATGCCATTCCACTTAAAGATTATTAAGAACCTTAATAAACCTTTACGTGGGTTACACCAGCTAATTTTTTTAATCCATTTTAGAAATGAAGTCAAAACTTTTAAAAATTACTGATTCATGGGCCAACAAATGGCTCAGTGGATAAAGGTACTTGCTGCAAAGCCTGACACTCTGAGTTCTATCCCCCTAGGTCCCACATTGTGGAAGAGATATAACTCCCACAAGTTGTTCTCTGACCATGTCTGTGCATGCGTGCGCACACACACACACACACACACACACACACACAAAATAAATCTGATGTTAAAAGTGATTGATTCATAAAAATAATAGATATACCATATATGAAGGCAAACTTTTAGAAATTAAAAACCATGGGGCTAGAGATATAGCTTAGTGGTTGTTCCTCCAGAAGACCAGGGTTTGAATCCCAGCACCCACATGGCAGCTAACAACCATCCACCACACCAGTTCCAGGGACTCTGACACCCTCTTCTGTCCTCCATGGACACTGCACAACACTGGTGTACTTACATGCATGCAGACAGTACATTCATACACATAAAATAAAAATAAATAAGTCAAAAAATTATAAACCAAGTATAAAAACAGTGGTGAGCTGAGCTCATGGATCTAGAGTGTCACAAATCTCTTGAATGCTGGTTTAATGGATAGTATCAATGTTCTCATTTCCACGTCTACAAACATCCTGTTGTGATCTACTATGTGTGTGAATAGAATTAGCTCACAGAGATACAGATTTGGAAAAGAGAGGGCCTCACAGCCCCAAGAAAGGGTCTCTCGAACCTCGGTGATTCCCAGAAACACACTTCAAGAATTGCTTTTCTATAAAACAGTGTGAAAGAACATAGGAGTGCATTTCCTATGGTGAAGGTAGATCATTTGTACAACCTGGAAATAAAGATGGAGTGTGGAGGGAGGGGTTGGGGGCCTTGGAAACCTAGGTGGAGTTTACATTTATGAGATCCCGGAGCCACACCATCTCTTACACAGGGAAAGTGAATTAATGGAAGTTGTGATTAGGAGGAAAGAGGTGGGTGTAGGAGACAGTGGGAAGGAGAGGAGAAGCCGCTGGGTAGGCTGCACTCAGGTACTGAAAGAACGGAGAGGAGGAGAGTTCTAGAATTAGGGATTTCGAACAGCAGTGACCAAGACCTGGCCTGGAGAAAAAGGGGAGGGCAGGTCAAAAATGACTCAGTGTCCAGGTCCTCCCTCAACCTTGTCTTAAGTGACTGATGGCTCAAGAAGGCTTGTCCTCTCTTTCAGAGTTGGCCAGCCCATCCATCCATCCTAAGGGTTTGGAGGAAGTCAACCCACTTCCCAATTTGATTGGTCCCCGCTGCTTCCAGAAGAAAAGGCAGACTTGTCCCTATGACATCCCTGGACGGCTGCTCATTACTCACCCACCTGGGGCCCTGCAGGCGGTGAAGGGCTGTGCCCGCTTTCTGTGTGCGCGGGAGCCTGCGGTCTGCCTCCTATGCACCCCAGCACCCCCATCAGCTCCCTCTTCTCCTTCACCAGCCCTGCAGTAAAGAGGCTGCTTGGCTGGAAGCAGGGAGATGAAGAGGAGAAGTGGGCAGAGAAGGCAGTGGACTCTTTGGTGAAGAAGCTGAAGAAAAAGAAAGGAGCCATGGACGAGCTGGAGAGGGCGCTCAGCTGCCCCGGGCAACCCAGCAAGTGCGTCACTATCCCCAGGTCTCTTGATGGACGCCTGCAGGTGTCCCACCGCAAGGGGCTACCCCATGTCATCTACTGCCGCGTGTGGCGCTGGCCGGACCTGCAGTCCCATCACGAGCTGAAGCCGCTGGAATGCTGCGAGTTTCCATTCGGCTCCAAGCAGAAGGAGGTGTGCATCAACCCGTACCACTACCGCCGCGTGGAGACGCCAGGTGGGTCCCAGCCTGCTGGTCTCAGGGTCAAGGTGTCCCCTTGGTGGAGAGAGATGGAGCACCCACAGGAAAAGGACCCCTGCCACTAGGGTCAGAGAGGGAAGGGAAAAGAGGGAGGTAATGCACCCGAGGTTGTGTAGGAAGAAAATTATGATGGTCCCCTTTCAGTATACAGGTCAGGGTGGTAGGATTTTGAAAAATACAGTTTTGTTCAGATGGATTTAGGAAGAGGAGTCCTAATCTCTTCCTAGTTCTTAAGAGATTGAAAGGCCTTAATAACGGTTAAGTATAAAAAATAAACATGCTCCTTTCTCCTACCCCCAGGTAGACTGAAGCCAATGAATGCTATTCGTTAAACTAAAGGGGTGTGGGGAGTTGTCCCATCTCTGAGTCTGAAAACAGCCAGAGAGGAGCTCAAAGTCAGTTCAGGGGCTTGGGAAAAAGGGGCCATTGTTCTTAAATATAGTTTAGTTTGGTTATGTTTTGTTGGGGTGGAATCTAGCCTCACAAGCAAGACAAGGCTTTTCCACTGAATATCTCTCCTCTCTCTGTTCTCTCTCTCTCTCTCTCTCTCTCTCTCTCTCTCTCTCTCTCTCTCTCTCTCTCTTCCCCATAAACATAAACCCAGAGTCTTGCACATGCTACACAAGTGCTCTACCACTAAGCTGCACTCCTAGCCTTTAAAATCTGCTTAAGTTCTTCAGTTTCAAATAGAGAAAACTACTGTTCCAAAACTTCACACTGCATACACTTGTGTGTGTGTGTGTGTGTGTGTGAGAGAGAGAGAGAGAGAGAGAGAGAGAGAGAGAGAGATTGTCCATTAATTTCCCCTTTTGACAGAAGTCTGCTGCTTAGCCTCATTTCTTCCTGCTGGCTGTTAACAGTTTTACTGAGGTTCTCTTTGAGTGTTCCTGTAACCTTCCAGGGGAATCGTTTTTACAGCATTCTTTGATTGGTTATCTGCCTCATCCCAGGAACCCAGGGGGCTCAGGGAAATCACCGGTGTCCCACTAGGGGACAGTGCTGTCTGGTTAGCAACCCAAGTGTTTAGTTTACCTGGCTTATTGGGCTCCTCCTTGGGTTCTTCCACTTTTGGCCTCCAGTGCTTTGCTCAAGAGTGATAACCCCAAGATTTGTTTTTGGGCACTTTGATAGCTATAGAGTGTTTAGGATCACAATGTGAGGTCATTCTCAGGTGGGTTCTAGAGATAGAGAAGAGATTTTAACTATCATTTGATTTTCAGGTTAGAACAATAGTGGGGCTGTTCCTCTGGACTGCAGGGCCTGCAGAGGCACTGTAGTATTGAAATTGAGTCAAAAGCATGGTGTTCTGTATCTGGATAACAGTTTCCTTATCAAGAAGTAATTCATTAATGAGACATGGTTATCCAAATAGCATCTCATATGGACTTAAATCTAATGTCTGGGGAGTGTAAGTCCTTGGGCTGTTAAAAAAAAATACCAATCATTTTAGTCTTTGGTTGTAGTTACCTCTTCAGTGTTTAAGACCATTTCCCTTCTTATTGTCAAGGCTAGTTGAAACTCTAATCCTCGGGTCTTACTTGGATTTGGTGGGAGCCCCCACCTCCTTTAGTCATTTTTGTTTTTTTCTATTTTTTTTGTATTTTTGTACACGAATATTATGCTTATACATGAATGTTATGCCTGCATGTATGTAAGTGCACCGTGTGCATTCAGTGCTTGCAGAGGCCAGAAGAGGGCATCATATCTCTTGGAACGAATGGTTGTTAGCCACCATATGGATGCTGGGAACTGAACCCCTGTCCTCTGCCAGAGCAGCCAGTGAGTGCTCTTAGCCACCAAATCATTTCTCCAGCCTTTACCCTCTTAAAAAAATTTAAAAAACAATTGTGCCATCTATTGGGGTGAATCAGGGTCTTGCTGACTGGAGCTTACCGTGGAAGAGACTAGAAGGCATTTTTCTGTGGGCCTCTCCTCTTTGAAGAATGTACACTGGTTAAAGTCCACCCAGTGGGGTCTCCATGGCCTCCCTACACAAGAGGACAGGTGACTCTCAAGAGCTATAGGACCTTTTGAGAAATGTCTCATAGTCCTCTATGGTGATTATGGAAGAAGGCAAGGCTCAAAATAGTATTCCTTTGAGTCCCTCTGTCCACATTGGTATAAACTTCCAAATATGGTTGTTGAAAACCCAGGAGGTCAATTACACTGATACTTTTGTTTCACATTTAAATAAACTTTGGGCAAAAACCAAACACTTAAATCAATAAATCTTGATTAAACAGAGTACAGTTTTTGTATTTTAAGCCAGTATTTTAAAATGTTAGCAAGAGAAGATCAATAACTTAAGAGAACTCTATTAATTTGAACTTTGACCTTAGAAATTTTAATAACCTTTAATGATCATACACATAGCATCTCTAAGTCGTGTTTTGTATGTACCTTATATAACTTACTCAGACCTTTCTTGACTTGCTTAGGCTTTTTAGTTTTGCCTTTATCTTTTCTAGTCTGGAAAAAATCCAGCCATCTTGACTTTGGACAAAGTATTATGCAGAAATTCTTCTTTACTAAATCTTCATTCCTACATCTATTTAGCATTTCTTTCTCCTGTTTATTGGCTCCCTTTTACTTTATTTTTGTTCCTAATATCATGAGACATAGTAACATAAAAAAAATAAATTTATCACCTTATTTAGAGGCTCACTGTTGAATTCAGTGACATCAGGTTGGACCAATAATATTTTTTATGGTCTATATAGACTTGTGTAGACAAATCTTTTTTTGTGGTCTTTTTTGAGACTGAGTCTCCCTGTAGTCCCAGCTGACCTGGAACTCACTATGTAGACCAGGCTGGCCTTGAACTCACAGAGATCCGCCTGCCTCTGCCTCCCAAGTGCTAGGATTAAAGGTGTACAGCACCACCCCCAGCATCCAGACAAATCTTATCATCTGCTGGATTGTGCAATGGGAACAGGGACAGAAGAATGGTCTTTCCCCTGCCTCGGAGTGCTATCAGAGAAAGAATGCTTGATTTTGAAGGGGCCCCCTCTGATATCTTTAAATTTTATAAAGTCATAGGTTTGTGGCAGTCAGCACCTATGATCATGGAGGTTCAAGGTAGCAGAAGTATCTGCCTTTATCCATGTCTAACCTGAAGTCCTCCCTCACTAGACCTGGAAGAGAGCAAATGTTTAAAAGCCTGTACCCACAATCAGCATGTGCTTGTGCGTGGAAGCAGACAACCTGAAAAACCTAGGAAATGAGTGTCCTCCCTCCTACAAAAACATAATGCTATAACTGATATTTCCCTATAGAGGACACTTTTTCCAATCCTCTGGTTTAAATTTAGGCCAGGTTTGAGTGCAGAAAAAATCACTTTTTTTTAAGGTCAAACAAATTATGGATAGATATCCATCTGTAGACTCAAAAGAAAATGTTAGAATGTCTTCTGGTTTCTCCTTTATCTTTCCCCATCAGAATGTCCCCTGATGACCCCCTTATTTCTCCTCCCCTCATTAATGACCATGAGAAATGGAAAGGTCTATCAGACTGGTCCACACTCGCCAATGAGACTCTGAAGTCTACTTGCCTTCCCTCTTTGTGACCATGAGGGAACATGAGGCCTTTTGGGTTGTGCCTCTCTCACAGGTATGACCTTTATCCCCCTGGACCTTGATGAATTCTTCCTGTATTTTGTGTGGTAACTTTAGATAAATCAGTGATAGAAAGGCATAGAGTACATCCGAGAGACAAATCAATAGACCTGGGAATCAGCAAGAGCATGTATTGCTAAATTCCAGAATTACTTTGGTTGATGAGAACCAGGGGCCAAAAGCTTACTGGAAATTGTGGTAGGATGCTCTCCCAATTCCAGAGATACCGTAGTGAGCAAGGATTAAGCTTCTTGACCAAGAGAATCAGGCCCCACAAGTTACCTTCATCAGCAGGTATCAATCTTTACCCCTTTTCCCCCTTTTATTGTAACAAAGGTACAATTGTCTCTCTCAGATATGGCTCTGATTTCCTTCCTGTAAGAATCTGGAGTGGGGGGCTGGAGAGATGGCTCAGCGGTTAGGAGCACTGGATACTCTTGCAGAGGACCTGAGCTAAATTCCCAGCACCCATATGGCAGATAACAACAGTTGGTAACTCTAGTTCCAGGGGATCCAGCACCCTCTTCTGAACTCCGCACAACACAGGTACACTTAGACACATGCAGGCATTTCAAAAAAGGATCTGTAGTGATCAGGAGGAAAGGAGAGAGAGAGAGAGAGAGAGAGAGAGAGAGAGAGAGAGAGAGAGAGAGAGGGAGGGATTTTTTTTTGAGGGGAGGGGAGGGGAAAAGAAAAAAGAAAAAATGAAAGTTGCCTATTCTGGCCATGATGTATTGGAAGCACAGAGATGCAGAAGAATCTCTAAGCTCCCTTTAGATTCCAATGTATATGTTATGTCAAAGAATGCTTCAAAAACTAGAAGAAGGGACTGGAGAGATGGCTCATAGGTTAAAAGCACTGGCTATGCTTACAGAGAATCCAGGTTCATTTCCCGGCGTCTACATGGCGGCTTACAATCCTCTGTAAATTTAGTTCCAAGGAATCAGATACCTTTTTCTGGCCCCCATGATCACCAGGCACACATGTGGTGCACAAACACACATGTATGCAAAACATTATAAACATAAAATAAACAAAAAAAATCTTGAAAAAAAAACCCAGAAGAACTCATCCTGGAGGTCTTGTGTTACCTAGTTAGTCTAATATAGGAAATACTTTGACCTTATCACATGACAGTAGGAACACTCAGAAAACGCTACACAGCTACCCATTTTGATAAAGAAGCAGTAGACATGGGGTAGAAGAAAGTGACCTGAGGTGTGTAGATCTAAGATAGCAAAGTAAGGACACAGAAAAGAGCAAGGAATTTATTTCATGGTCTCTACCCATGGAAGGGGGAGTCCGTATGTCTTACCACCAATTTTACTAGGAACACCAAAAGATGCTGTCTTTATCTTGGTTTTGCTCTCCCCTCAGTGCCTAGATACAAGCTGCTACTGGGACAGGGCCCAAGAGAGACCATGGAGTGTACCCAGTATGCCTGCCCGTAGCTACATTAGGAACTGGGAAGGAGAAAGCATTCCATGGTGTGACCTTGCCTCATGACCTCTCTGAGGGTGGCATGGGAAGAGCAAGACCAGATGGTCTATGTCCTCCATGTTGGCTTCACCAATTGAGTCCCTTAGAAATAAAGTTGTTAAGAACACTTAACCCTGTTTTTAAAATGTCAGCAGCTCTGGGTGTGGTGGTGTATGCCTTTAATCCAAGCATTTCGGAGGCAGAGGCAGGTGCAGATCTTACCGTGTCTCAAAAAGACAAAAAGAAAAACAAAACAAACAAACAACAACAACAACAAAAAAAAAAAAAACCCAAATGTAAGAAGCCTTAAGTGGTACTTCTCAGAAAAATAACTGCCTGCATCCAGCAACATGGTCCAAGATAGTGTCAGTATCCTCTATTCTGTTCAGGCCCCTATGTGCCTGACCCTGTTAAACTACTTTGTTCTCTTCCTTTCCCTCAACTTTGAACAGAGGTCTCTCTCATTCTAAAGGAGGATGGCAGAGGTGAGAGAAAAGAATTTCCAGCACCCAGGGAGAGAAAGAGTTAAACTTAGTGCCATTTCCATTCCACCACATGGACGTTGGTCACAGAAACACAGGAAAACAAGCCAAGAATGAAAGACACTGCACGTGTATGCCATATCCCCATCACCCCCAAGGAAGAAAACCTGGTACAGAAAGGAAATAGAAATCCTTTTCTGTCTCTCAGGGAGGCAGACTTGAGGCAGGACAGAAAGACAAAGCCTAGAGACTGAATCTACCCAAAAGAAATCTTAGCCAAAGGTTAATCACTGGATAAGCCCCCACAAGATTACCTCAAGTCCAGGGGATCATCACCTGTTCCGTATTCAGAGGAACTCCTTTAGGATCTATCTGGTCTCCACAGGTTACAAAGAAAATTGGAGTTCTCCTTTTGAGTTCTTATTCTTGTTAATAAAATAATTTACAAATGGACTTGGAAGGGAGCTCAAGGACAACCTTTATATCCTTTAAGAGAAAAACAACATAGCAGGCAGGCTGGAAGTCTTGGCAGCTGCCTAGACGAGGGAGATGGAGAAGAGAAAGAGGGAGAGTCTTGCCTTTTGAGTTAGGGTCCAAGAAAGTGGGCGGGTCATCAGTGGAGGCCCACAAACAGCCTAGTGGCAGAGGTGGGAGGCAAAGGCTTCAGAGAAAAGGTGTATGTGGGGGGGGGGGTGACCCAGAAGAGACCCATTAAAATGAACAGATTGAATTTGTGTTTTCATATTACTGTTGATCTTTTCCTTCACTGCATTTTTTCATTTACCACGTGCATTTCACTTAATAGCTTTTGGTTCCTTGCTTTTAGATCATTCTGGTAACGGCAATAAAATGCCTTTATTTCATCAGCAGCAGTGAGCATGAAAGTGAGGCTAATCATCTAAATAATTCAACATGGCTTCTGATGGAAAATATTCTCAGTCTCACCTAGGGTTCCACTGCAAGTATTAGGAACCAATTGTGCCTCTTTAAAAAGACTTTATTGGCAGAAGTGAAGAAAGATGCAAACATTGACTTCCATAAAGTCAAGTACTAGATCATTACCAAGCTGCGAGTGTATAGGACCGTGGATGACCTTAGAAAGAGCCTCCTCCGAACTTCATCACTTTGTGACCCTCTGCTTAAAATGTGGGTGTCAAGGAGGAAAGCTGGTGACTGAGCATAATTCACATGCTCTTTTTGGGTAGAGATGGGACCCTTTGTGGGCATTTTCACTATGAGCACAAGGTAGTCAGCTCTCCCTGTGTGTTTCCTTTGCTCCTAGTGCTGCCTCCAGTGCTGGTGCCAAGACACAGCGAATACAACCCCCAGCTCAGCCTCCTGGCCAAGTTCCGCAGCGCCTCCCTGCACAGCGAGCCGCTCATGCCGCACAACGCCACCTACCCCGACTCCTTCCAGCAGCCTCTGTGTCCCGCACTGCCTTCCTCGCCCAGCCACGTGTTCCCGCAATCTCCGTGCTCTGCCAGCTACCCACACTCTCCAGGAAGTCCTTCCGAGCCAGAGAGCCCGTATCAGCATTCAGGTCAGTCTGTGGAAAATGGGACCCACGGTGGGTGAGCAGAAGTGCAGTCGTTATAACTAACGGGCTTTACAGTTTACAGAGCCACCTGTAGGCCATCTATCTCACCACACTCCAGAATGACCAGGGCCTGACCTCGTGGAGCAGATCTGCAGATCCTGTTTTTGGTTCTAATCCTCTGGAAGCTCTCAGAAACGAATTGTATTTTAACATCATTCTGAGAAATTTCCAGAGTGTGTGTGATTGGTTTTGGGTTTTGTTTCCTTGGTGTTTTTGAGACAGAGTCTCCCTGTAACCACAGCTGGCCTGGCACTCCCTATGTAGACCAGACGGCCTCGGGCTCACAGAGATTTGCCTTTGTCTCCCAAGTGCTGGGCTTAAAGGCTTGCACCACCAAACCTGACTGTGATTGTGTTTTTGAAACAGGGTCTGGCCCCATACTCAGGATTCTTCCGCCTCAACCTCCCCAGTGCTGGGGTTACAGGCATAGGCCACTTTGCTGAGGGTAGAAGTAAAATTAAAATACTGCTGTATAATGAAATAAAAATATTTTTAAATTAAACACCAAGAGAAAAGGCACACAAGATGGCTCAGCACATAAAAGCACCATCTACACACACTTGGTTATCAGAGTTTCATCCCTTCAACTTATATAAAGGTGGAAGGAGAAAACCGACTCCACAAAGTTGTCCTCTGCCCTCCACATACTCACCATGGCACAGGCACCATGCACACATCATGCGTACACACAATAATAAGTAAAATTTTTGAAAATGAGACACCAAAAAAATTCTGTAAACCAGAAATGGAGATTTGGCTTGAGAGCAGGACAAAAGGAAGACTCTGGTTAGGTCTTTGTTTGCTTGCCTCTTTCAACAATCAAAAGGAGCCTTTGGCTACAAAAGCTGTGTGCATAACTGCAGTGTTGTGGGAAGGTAGGCCCCGACTCCAGCCAGCGCATTCTCAGGATTTGCTCCGAAGCTAAGAGAGCAGGGGAAAGAGCAGGCACTTCAGTAGCTCGATGCTGGATTGAGAAAGCATATGGAAGAGGGAGGGAGACTCCATGTGGCGTGACACACATCATTCATGCCATGTGTGTCACAGCATCTGTGAACCTGGTCAAAGCTGAGACATGAAGAAGGGATGTATAGGAACATGGTAGTAAGCTCACAACTACAGCTATGATTTTCTGGACTTTGGTCAGTAATGACTATGTACCTACTAAGTGTCCAGCAGTGCCCCAGGGCTAGAAGAGCATGATGGCTAAGAGCATGGTCTCTGGTCTTCAAGAGGTAGGTAGTGATGAAGAATAATCAGAAAAATGAGCCATCAAATGGAGTATAGGCAGTAGCAGGCCAGGCAGGGTCATCACAAGGAACCAAACTAAAGTGGGGATGTGAGATGGGGATAGAGACTGTGAATTGGGGGAAGTGGTATTTATGAGATTTGATGATAGAGGCACTGAATAGAACCTCAGGAGCCACTACACAGCGTGAGAACAGGTATTTGGAGACTCACAGGTGGCTGAGTTCACTTGAGAAACCAGCAGCCTGGAGGTAGAGGTAGGATCTCAAATTGGAGGCCAGCTTTGGCTACATAAGGAATTCCAGGTCATTCGGGGTTCCATAAAGACCTGTCTCACAAAACTAAAGAGGCATAACACAAAGTCATTTGAGAACAGAGCCATGTTTAAGAGACTGGATAATTATGTCATAAGATATATATTTGCATAACACATCTGTGGTGTAGAAGATTAACTGTACTGACTGTGTATTCCACCCTGGTTCCTCAGTTCACTAACAGGCTGATGTTCCCTGTCTTCTTTCCATCCATGGACAGACCCTAGCAAGAATGAAAAGCCTGCCAGTCTTGTAGACAAGGCATAGCCCTTTTCATTTTGAAGAAAGTAACTTTGAGGAAAAAAAAAAAAGAATTAGGGGTCTGGAGAGATGGCTCAGTAGTTAAGAGCACTAACTGTTCTTGCAGAAGACCGAGGTTCAAATCCCAGCACCCATATGGCAGCTTACAACTGTCCATAACTCTAGTTCCAGGGGATCTGACACCTTCTTCTGTCCTTGGCAGACACTGCAGGACATGGGTACATTTACACACATGCAGGCATAACACTCATACACATAAAAGAAAAATTAATCAGGTGGTTGAGGAGACTGGTAGGCCTGGGCAGCTAGTGCTGAATGATGCTGGGAAAACTGCAGTGAGTCCAGGCTGGAGTCGGACATGGCTGAGGAAGCATGGAGACCTGCCAAAGCAGAGCAAGAAGAAAACTAGGAAAGAGAAGCCAAAATCTGAGAAGGCTGAAGAGTCAACCGAAGGAATGGAAGAAGCTGTTTCTCCAAAGCTAGTACAGTTAAAGAAGAAAGCAGGGCCTTCTGAAGATGATGTGAATCCTCCTAAATCCAAAAAGGCCAAAAAAGCAAGAGGAGCCACCTCAAGATGACACGGCTGCCCCCAAAACCAAAGCTGCAAAAAAAAGAAAAAGGAATCCGTTAAGAAGAAGGCTGTCTCTGCCCAAACCAAAGAAATAAAAATCCAGGAGCCTTCCGAGGAAAACAGAGGTGCCCCAAAGCCCAAAAAGACGAACAAAGGAAAGGACTCGAATGGAGACATTGGAGAGAAGAGACCCAAACTGAAGAATGGGTCATCCCATCCCAAATCGGACTCCAGTACCAGTGGAGTGACCGGCGGAGAAAGCAGTAGTGAGACAGAACAGGAAATACCTAGAACCAAAAGAAGGAGCTTTCTCTAATTTTCCCATATCTAAAGAGATTACTAAGCCTCTCAAAGCTCATGGTAAACTTCCTATTTCCTATACAAGCAAAAACATTCCACCATTTGTACAGTGGGAAAGACTTAGTTGCCCAGGCAGGACAGGACCTGGGAAGACATTCTCCTTTGCCATCCCCTCGACTGTGAAACTTTAGGGTGGGCTGCAGGACAGGAAGAGAGGCAGAGCACCCTAGGTGCTGGTTCTTATATCTGCAAGAGAATTGGCAAGTCAAGTAAGCAGAGACGTCAGTGACATCACAAAGAAGCTGTCGGTGACTGGTTTTTATGGTAGGACTTCATATAGAGGTCAAATTGAACAGATGCAGAATGGAATTGACATCCTGGTTGGGACACCAGGTCACATCAAAGACCTCCTGCAGAATGGCAAGCTGGACCTTAGCACACTCAAGCATGTCATCCTGGATGAGGTCAACCAGATGTTGGATATGAGTTTTGCTGATCAAATGCAAAGAGATTTTATGTGTGGTATATAAGAAAGATTCTGAAAACATTCCCCAAACATTGCTTTTCTCTGCCTCTTGCCCTCACTGGGTGTTTAATGTTGCTAAGAAATACATAAAATCAGGGCTGGAGAGATGGCTCAGTGGTCAAGAACACTGACTGTTCTTGCAGAAGACCCGAATTCAAATCCCAGCACCCACATGGCAGCTAACAACTGTCTGTAACTCCAGTTCCAGGGGATTCGACAGCGTCGGAGGTCTAAATCAGTGTGCTTCCCGATATTGCTTAGAATTGCATGCTATGCTCAAGAAACCAAGTTAAAAATAAAATCGAGTCACTCAGTTCTTAAAAAATGGACTTCAAGGGGCTGGAGAGATGGCTCAGCGGTTAAGAGCACTGACTGCTCTTACAGAGGACCCGGGTTCGATTCCCAGCACCCACATGGCGGCTGCGAACCGTCTTTAACTCCAGTTCTGGGGGAATCCGAAGCCCTCTTCTGACCTCAGTGGCATTGCACGACACGGGTGCACTCACATACATGCAGGCAATACACTCATACACATAAAATAAAAACAATAAAGAAAATATTTTTTTAAAAAAAAAGAATACATGAAATCTACATTGAACAGGTGAACCTGATTGGTAAAAACACTCAGAAAACAGCCATAACTGTGGAGCACCTGGCTACTAAGTGTCACTGGAGCGAGAGGGCAGAGGTTATTGAGGATGTGATTTGAGTGTACAGTGACCATCAAGGGTACGCCATCATCTTCTATGAATCAAGAAAGAAGCCCAGGAGCTGTCACAGAATATACACATAAAGCAGGATGCCCAGTCCTTACATGGTGACATTCCACAGAAGCAAAGGGAAATCATGCTGAAAGGCTTCCAAAATGGCAATTTTGGAGTTTAGGTGGCAACTAACATTACTGTACGTGGGTTACACATCCCTGGGGTTGATTTGGTTGTACAAAGCTTTTTTTTTTTTTTTTTTTTTGGTCTTTTTGAGACAGGGTCCCCTTGTAGCCCCAGCTGTCCTGGAACTCACTATGTAGACCAGGCTGGCCTTGAACTCACAGAGATCTGCCTGCCTCTGCCTCCCGAGTGCTGGGATTAAAGGTGTGGACCATCACACCCAGCTTGCATGTGCTTTTATCAGCACAAGGAACAATATCAGCACAAGTGGAGCAAAAGCAGGAATTGAATTTAAACAAGTGGGTGTTCCTTCTGCAACAGAAATAATGAAAGCTTCCAGCAAAGATGCCATCAGGCTTTTTAGATTCTGTGCCTCCCACTGCCATTGGCCACTTCAAGCAGTCATCTGAGAGGCTGATGGAGGAGCAGGGAGCTGTGGAGGGCCTGGCAGCAGCACTGGCACATATTCAGGTGCCACATCGGCCAACCAGCGCTCCTTGATCAATTCACAAACGGCGTTGTGACCATGATCCTGTGGTGCTCAATTGAAATGCCCAACATTAGTTATGCTTGGAAAGAACTTAAGGCGGAAGAACTGGGCGGAAGCATTGATTCCACAGTGAAGGGAATGGTCTTCCTCAAAGGCAAACTGGAGAAGTGGCATGATTCTCCGCGTTGGCAGCTGGCTGTGGCCACAGAGCAGCCAGAACTGCAAGGACTACTGGAAGGCCAGAGGGATGGCCGCTGTGGCTGTGGCTTCAGAGGACAGCAAAATGGAAGCAGAAACTTCAGGGGACAGGGACTGCAGGGAGGAAATAGAAACTTCAGAGGACAGTGCCCAGAAGGTGGCAACAAAAGTAACAGGTCCAGAACAAAGGCCAGAAGCAGAGTTTTAAAAGCCTTTAATCATCAGTGTGAGTGCAGTAGAGATTTGCCTGGCAAACAGGACTGCATCTCAGTTTGACCGTTTTCACCGTTCAAAGCCCGCAGTGCTTCCCTTTTGATCAGCTGCTCCATCCTCATTCTGTGCAGAGAAGCAGGCTTCTAAATTATTTCATATGACCATTGTCAATTGTTTTCATTTTGAAAAGGGACACAGATTCATTGCATCTTTATTCTTAATATATTGTCTTGTAGATTTGCAAGATAAAATTAAAAAGAGAAAAATTAATCAAATTTAAAAAAATTATTAGCAAAATGCCAACCTGAATAATAGCCCATAGAAAAGTAAGAATAAAAACACCTTTTGAGATGAACTAGATTAGTCCCTAATTGTTTTTTTGTTTTTGTTTTTTTTCTGTCTTTTTGAGACAGGGTCTCCCTGTAGCCTCAGCTGCCTGGAACTTGCTCTGTAGACCAGGCTGGCCTCAAACTCAGCCATCTGCCTGTCTCTACCTCCTGAGTGCTGGGGTTAAAGGCCTATGCCACCACGCCCGGCACCTAGTCCCCAATTTTTAAAAAATAGTTTTATTGAGGGACTGGAGGGATGGTGCAGTGGTTAAGAGCACTGGCTGATCTTGGCAGAGGACCTGGGTTTGGTTCCCAGCACCCATGTGGCAGCTAACAACCATCTGTAACTCCAGTTCCAGGGGAATCAGACGGCCTCTTCTGACCTCCACAGGCAATGCATGACATGGGTGCACTTACGTACATGCCAGCAGTGCACTCATACACATAAAATAAAAATAATAGATAAAATATTTTTAAAGTGTTATTGAGATGTAATTCACATATATAAAATTCACCCATTTTAAAATATATAGTTCAGTGATTTTTTTGTATATGAGATTATTTTTTTGAGATTAATTTTTAAGTTGTGGTAAGTATATTTATCATAGCCATTTTAAGAGTTCAATACAGTGACATTAAGTCAATTCACAGTATTATGCCTTCACCACTATTTTCAAAATATTTTAAAGATTTTATCATTTATCGATATGTATCTGTGTGTGCATGCATGAGTTTAATGTACACCATATGCTTCAAGGTGCCTGTGGAGGCCAGAGGTGGTCAGATCCCCTAGAGCTTGAGTTACAGACAGTTGTTAGCCTTCATGTGGGTGCTGGGAACTGAACCTGGGTCCTCTGTAAGAGCAGTAAATGCTTCTAACCTCTGGGCCAGCTCTCCAGCCCCTGCAAAAAAAAATTTAACTCCCCAAACAGAAACTCTTGTACCATTAAGCAATGACTCCCTATATCCCCCATCCTTAGCTTCTGGTGGACTCAAATCTACTTTCTCTATGAATGTGTTTATTCTGGGGGCCTCATGCAAGAAGATGCATGCAGTATTTGCATTTTTGTGCCTGGCTTATTTCACTAAGCAGAGCGTTTTCACAGTTTATCTGTACTGTAACATGTATCAGTATTTCACTTTTGTGACTAAATAATATCCTATTGTATTGATATATGCATTAAAAATTCATTCATTGGTTGGTGGCTATTTGGGCTGTTTCCACCTTTTCACTAATGTGTGAAATGCTGCGGTGAACCTTAGTAGGGAAGTATGTGTTTGAGTTCAGCTTCTACTTTCTTTGGGTGTACAAGTCATATGATAATTCTATGCTCAGGCTCTTAATTTTCTGGGTAGACTTGCAAAAGGGCCACTTTGCCTTACAAGGTTTTCACCGGGGTTGCAGTCCATTTTCTAATAAGGAAATACCTTATCTTCACCCTCAGTGTGGTCCATGAACCTCTGCATTAGGTTGCCATAGGGCCTGTAGTACATGACTACATCCAACTCTTGATTTGTTGAATCAGAATTTCTGGGGGTAAAATCAGAAATATACATTTTTAGCAAGCACCACTGGTGATATTTGTGCATAGCTAAGTGTGGGAGCTATTTGTGTAGACAATCCAATTCAGGAAAGACTGATTGGTCTGCCCCTTTTATGCAGAATCTCACCACTAGTGGACAAGATCCTTTGGGACTAATGTTAAACATGGAAACTGAAGGAAGTGGTTGCCCTCTAAGGACCACGCTGAGGTCCTGCCTCACAGTTCCCCTGTGCCTCTGCTACTACTGATTACCTCCTGATGAGCTAGCAACTGAATGTACAGTATTTGCCTGACTAGGCTCACTGTCGAGTCATAGGACCAATCTGAGAAGGCCACAGTTACAGTCCAGTTTCAGCTGTTCTGTTTGGGGAGCATCTCTTGAAGCAACTCAGGGACAGGTCATCTTTGTGGCCACTGTATAGCTCATGACAACATGGGGTCTGAAAACCGAGCTCATTTTGAAGAGTCAGGCTTCGTGGCATTTTGAAAACCAGAAAAGACTATTCTATTGAGGAAAACCCAGTAAACAGCTTATATTTAAAAATCATATCATAAAATCATTTGAACTCAATGCTATTTGAGTCAATCCATTGAGTCAACCCAGCACTAGGGATCTCAGAACAACTACTTTCCATGGAAGGATGCTGAGAATGTCATTTCAGAGAATTTGGTCGCATTAATGTGGTTTCTCTTCAGTGGTAGCACTGCCCACCCAGCCCCACCTGTCTGCACAGCCATCAGTGTGACAGTTGCTTTGTTCTGAAACTTTCTTATAGCTGGCATCTCCCCCCATCTCATCCTGCCACAAAGCCCCAGGGACCCGGAATGGCCAACCCATAGATGCCACAACAGATACTTAGTGTTACCGATGCCTAACAGAGGTAAATTATAGGTGAAGAGCTGAGTGTAGTTACTTTCTAAGAGTATTGTTTCCAGTTACCTCAAAACCTAACAGAACAAAAGTGTGCTAGCCTGTTCTTCTGTGTGGTGGGAGAGGCAGGCAGCAGGCTGCACATTTTCAGTTTGGCATTCATTATACTGCAGAGTGAATGTTTTATCATTTTAGTTCCTAGAACACATTTTTTTTGACATAGCATTTACAAGTCTGTGATGGTGGTTTTTTGGTGGTAGTGGTAGATGTAGGAGTGGGAGTGGCTTCCCTCCCCCTGCCCCAGGTGGGTATTGCTCTGTTGTCCGGCTGCTTCAAACTCCTATGTCCAAGCAATCTTCCGACCTCTGCTTTTCAAGTAGCTAAGTCTGGCTTTGTAGGGTCTTGTTCATTTGTTTGTTTGTTTGAGACAGTGTCTTGCTATGCAATTCAGGCTGGCCTAGAATTTGCAATCCTCTTGCTTCAGTCCTCCTGAGTGCTGGGATTATAGGTCTACAGCCCCTTGTCGGGTAAGTTTGTAGTTCTTTATGCTTAGTGTGGAACTGGGAACTTAAGAAATAAGTTTTGTTCCCTTTGTGTTTTTGCTATGTTTATTGTGTCATTCGTTTAGCTACAGAGATGCTCTTAGAAAATTTAGAGCTGGGATTTTTAAATTTTTATTTGTATCTTACAGTAGGCTAAGTGCTGTCAACTTCAATGCTCGCGTAAAGCAGATGCAGTCTTGCGTAAATGCAGTTTTTGTCTCTGTCAATCTAGAATGGGCTCTAAGAACTGCATTCTTAGCAAGATCCGAGCTGGGGCTGAGGCTGCTGCTCTGGGAAGCACATTTTAAGCAGTCCGGGACTAAAGGAGCCTGCTCAAAGTATCCCAGAGTAAACTCTTTCATAACTGGATGTTCTTCTGTAAATAAATCATACCCTCCTAATTTATCTGCTTCATCACTTTGCACTTTTTAGTGCTAATGGGGACATATTCCTAACAGAAGAATTACAAGTGTATTCAAGGAAAAGGAAATAATATGAGGAATGGAAAGGTAGAGAAGTGGTGTGGGTATCAAAGAAAGAACTTGGAACTGTGGCTGGTGACAGATAAGCTTACTATAAGTTTAAAAGCTGGGGTAAGGGGATGGAGAGCTGGCTCAGTGGTTAAGAGCACTGGCTGCTCTTGCAGAGGACCTGGGTTTGATTCCCAGCACCCACATGGTGGCTAACAACCATCTGTCTATAACTCCAGTTCCAGGGGATCCGATGCCCTCTTCTGACCTCTGCAGTCATTGCATGCCACAGGTGCACTTACATACAGGCAAGCAACACACTCATACACATAAAATAAAATTAAAATAATAAAATATTTTTAATAAATAAAAAATAAAGGCTGGGGTAAAAACATAGCATTCATAGATTTCCTACTGAAGCAGTCAACTCTCCTTCATTTACGTTTGTGCCATATGGAAATAAATATCCTATGTGTACCACAGAGGACAATGTGAGCCTCTCTGCATATAAATGTATTTTTTCTTAGATAAAAACTTCATCAATGCTTTCTATTTGGATTTGGTTTTTATCATATTCAGAGTATTGTTATCATTACTTTATTGTGGAATTATACTTTTGGCATAGGGATTCAGTTGTGCTCCAACAGACTGTGGTCTTAGGTAAAGATGAAGTGACCTGCCACCTTGTTTTTAGATGTGTTTATTCTAAGACTAATGCTATTTTAAATCATGTCCATGAATCTTTTCCCTGGCCCCTCATTACTAATAAATATGTTTACAGATGCCCTAACTATGGAAAATTAACAAGGACCATGGCCTCTGTCCCACTAGTACCATAAGTGGATGAGCTAACTAACCCCAGACAGCTTCCATTAAAGATAAATGTTTGAAAGACTGCAAAGGGGCCACAGTGGTCGCGCAGTCAGCTTTCTGGTTTAAGCATTCGTCTCTGCTTCCTTTGAAATGACAGCTACAAAGCCCAGAGGTGACAGTAACGCTGCACCTTCTGTCTTGTTTTCTTCCAGACTTCCGGCCAGTTTGCTACGAGGAGCCCCAGCACTGGTGCTCCGTCGCCTACTATGAACTAAACAACAGAGTTGGTGAGACATTCCAGGCGTCTTCCCGGAGCGTGCTCATAGATGGCTTCACTGACCCTTCCAATAACAAGAACAGGTTCTGTCTTGGACTTCTTTCAAACGTAAACAGAAACTCCACGATAGAAAACACCAGGAGGCACATAGGAAAGGGTAAGAGTGAACACAGCATGCCTCCTTGCTGCCTTCAGAGCTGAAATGCAGGACTAGAAGCCAGCCACACACTGGCTGTGTAACCTATGGAGAGACCTCAGGGCTGGTGAACCCTGGGATAGCCATGGTGTCACCACTGGAGAGGGCATGGGCTTTCTGAAGTCAGTAGGTCATCTTCAAGGATGGCATGGGGTGAGTTCTATGAAGACAAGACAGAGTAAAGAGCCAGCCAGGTGAAGTAATGCAGGCCTATTATCCCAGCATTTGGAAGGTAGAGGTAGGAGGATCAGAAGTCCAAGGCTAGCCTCAATTGTGTAGCAAGTTCAAGACCAGCCACCCTAGGCTACATAAGGACCCCTATCCAGAAAAACAAGCAAGTAAAACTCATAAGAAATAGGAAGGCACCATGGTATTATTCAATGAAAGTATTAAGTATTTTTAATAGTCTTAAGATGCTAAATAGGATGATTTCTGGGGAAGAAGAAATTTGACTGAATGATTAATATCAGGTCAAGTAACCTTTGGAGACTTAGAAAGTATACAGTTAGAGATAATGTCTGACTTATGCTTGGATGCCCTTGGCAGATGATGGGGTTCTCCTGTGTCTTGGTGGTCACTGTGATTGGGCATAGGTCTCACTGGTCTCTACTGATGCTGCTTTTGAACCATCTCAGCTCTGCAAGAAATGGTAGGGAGCACTGCTGAGAAGGAGTCGTTGGAGGGTCCTGAAGTATTTTTTCTATTAGAATTGTTGGTGCCCTGGTCTGCTATGGCTCTGGAGTCAAGGGTAAAAAGGACATTAGAGCTTGATCTTTTTTCTTCTCCCTATCTACCAATAGGCTTGAGTCTTTTCTTTGAGATTTCCTGAGGAGACTCATGATTTCACTTGTGATGCTTTCTAATATCCTTCCTGTCATAGTCCATCACCATCTTCCACTGTAGTAGCCTACAGCCCCTGAGTTAGAGGCAGGTTAAATTCATTTAGTGGTGTTGACTTTTTCATGCTGGGGATTGAACCCAGGGCCAAGGCTCTTTCATGCTGGGGACTGAACCCAGGCCTTGTGTATGCTATACAAGCACTCTACCACTAATCCAAATCCCCAACTCCCACTTGAATTCTTTTTTTAAATAAATATTTTATTTATTATTTGTATTTTATGTGTGCACGTGTATTGCCTGCATGTAGGTAAGTGCACCTCTATCGTGCAATGCCAGCGGAGAGAGGCTGTCAGATCCCCTGGAACTGGAGTTATGGACAGTTGTTAGCTGCCATGTGGGTGCTGGGATTCAAACCCAGGTCTTCTGCA